AGATTTGAGAATATCTGCAGCAACAAGCAGGCTCACTACAGCCACTGAAAAGATTGGAGGATTAAAGTACAAAGAAAAAACTCTCAGGGAGCTGTTCAATGTTTTCACTCCATTTTGCACAGAGGCTTTTTTAATGTATAGATTATAGCAAAGTTAAATATTGTTACAAATAAAAAAAAAAGAAATATGTTTAAAATAACACAGACAACAAAGAATCCTCTTCTAATCTACAGTATAGAACTATTAAAAAAATACTGTTACACAAAAGTGTTCCACTGTAAAGATGGTCTAGTTGGTTTTGTTGCAACCTGAAGTGTGAAAGAAACTTCAGTGTAGTTTGAAAACAAAATATGTGTATAGATTTATTATATCTGGTTGAACGATGTGTGTGCCCAGTTTCTTCTTTTTTTTTTTTTTGGGGGGGGGGGGGGGGGGGGGGGCTCGTGGGGTGGGGGTGGGGGGGGGGTGGTTTGTTTGGGGTGGGGGGGCGTGGAAATTTTATTGTAATCCAAAGGGGGGCCCAGAAGAAAATCTTTGGGAACCACTGATCTAATGTTTTTAAATGAACTTACATCCTTGATGAAGAAGAAATGGTAAAAGCCACAGCAGAGTCATGTTGACAATGTCCTCATACTGTAAGGACACATTTACTTAAGTAACTGAAGGAGGTGTGGTAATCCAGAGCGTAAGAAGCATCTGATTGGTTACCATGAAATTTTCCAAAAAACAGGGCTTGCTGCCACAATGAGACAAAGAAAAAAAAAAAAAAAAACCTTAAAATGAACAACAATTTATTTTTTATCAACAACCTGCTGTTATACGCTAGTGTGGGGTCTGATTTCCTTAATCATACATTTTGTAAAGTTATAAATATATATGTTTGGCTCTTTATTATTAGGAAGTCCAGAAAATGTAGTTAAATCCTACAGCTGTTCCAAAATGCTTCAGCCAGAGTAAAAGAGAGAGAAAATTAAAAAGAGAAATCATATCTCTCCTATCCTGGCTTCTCTTCATTAGCTTCCTGTTAAATCCAAAATAGAATTTAAAATCCTCGTTCTCACATATAAAGCCTTAATGGCAAAGCTCCATCATATATCAGAGATATGATTGTTCCTAATTGTCCTAACAGAGCACTTCGCTCTGCAGATTTACTAGTGGTTCCTAGAATATATAAAAGGAGAATGGGAGGCCGATATATTACTTAGACTCCTTTCCTCTGGAACCAAGTACCAGTTACAGTCTTTGAGGCATACACCCTGTCTACTTTTTAAGGGTAGGCTTAAAACTTTCCTTTTTGATAAAGCGTATGGTTAGAGTGGCTCAGGTTATCTTGAGCTACACTATATTGCCAAAAGTATTTGCTCACCTGCCTTGACTCACATATGAGCTTAAGTGACATCCCGTTCCTAATCCATAGGGTTCAATATGACGTCGGTCCACCCTTTGCAGCTAGAACAGCTTCAACTCTTCTGGGAAGGCTGTCCACAAGGTTTAGGAGTGTGTTTATGGGAATTTTTGACCATTCTTCCAGAAGCGCATTTGTGAGGTCGCACACTGATGTTGGACGAGAAGGCCTGGCTCTCAGTCTCCGCTCTAATTCATCCCAAAGGTGTTCTATCGGGTTGAGGTCAGGACTCTGTGCAGGCCAGTCAAGTTCATCCACACCAGACTCTGTCATCCATGTCTTTATGGACCTTGCTTTGTGCACTGGTGCACAGTCATGTTGGAAGAGGAAGGGGCCAGCTCCAAACTGTTCCCACAAAGTTGGGAGCATGGAATTGTCCAAAATGTCTTGGTATGCTGAAGCATTCAGAGTTCCTTTCACTGGAACTAAGGGGCCAAGCCCAGCTCCTGAAAAACAACCCCACACCATAATCCCCCCTCCACCAAACTTTACACTTGGCACAATGCAGTCAGACAAGTACCGTTCTCCTGGCAACCGCCAAACCCAGACCCGTCCATCAGATTGCCAGATGGAGAAGCGCGATTCGTCACTCCAGAGAACGCGTCTCCACTGCTCTAGAGTCCAGTGGCGGCGTGCTTTACACCACCGCATCCGACGCTTTGCATTGCACTTGGTGATGTATGGCTTGGATGCAGCTGCTCGCCCATGGAAACCCATTCCATGAAGCTCTCTGCGCACTGTTCTTGAGCTACATGAAGTTTGGAGGTCTGTAGTGATTGACTCTGCAGAAAGTTGGCGACCTCTTCGCACTATGCGCGTCAGCATCCGCTGACCCCGCTCCGTCAGTTTACGTGGCCTACCACTTCGTGGCTGAGTTGCTGTCGTTCCCAAACACTTCCATTTTCTTATAATACAGCTGACAGTTGACTGTGGAATATTTAGGAGCGAGGAAATTTCACGACTGGATTTGTTGCACAGGTGGCATCCTATCACAGTTCCACGCTGGAATTCACTGAGCTCCTGAGAGCGACCCATTCTTTCACAAATGTTTGTAAAAACAGTCTGCATGCCTAGGTGCTTGAATTTATACACCTGTGGCCATGGAAGTGATTGGAACACCTGATTCCAATAATTTGGATGGGTGAGCAAATACTTTTGGCAATATAGTGTATCTCTATACAGTAGCGGCAATTTAAAATGGCCCTTCCCAGTTAAACGCCAGTCGAATTGCAGCCCACTTCCCAGCAACTCCAAGCAGGATCCCATCCAACTTTCAGCCACTAGAGTGATCCCCTCCTTCTCCTGGACATGCATATTTTTTTACTCTGACTCCACCCTTTCACTGAATTAAAGGGTCTGACCAGGAGATGGCACTTCTCTTTCGATTTTAATGTCCACAAATCATGACAGAATATACTTTAATACTTTAGTACAAAGATTGTTTAAAAAAGAATTGTATGGGACCAGCCAAGAGCCCATCATGGAAAGCGGGGAAATTTTGGAATGTCTACTGCTTTAATTTATCTCTATTCTATCATAATGCAGTATTTGTTAGTTCAATCTCTAACACTATGCTCTACTACTACCTTTCTCATAGTAGCTTCATCTGGTCAGTTCCTGTTTGGCTGTGACACCATCCTGGAGAGAAATATCAGCTGTGATGCTGCCATTGACACCTTTGTTTCTATTTGTTGGAGCTTGGCCTGTTTTGTCTCACCTATGTGAGACACAGCTCTGTGCCCTTACATACTATGGGCAACCAGTGAGGTAGTCCAGAATCCACTTGGACATGTGCTAGTCCACTGCTGGAGTCCTGGCTGGATGGTGTTGAAAGCACTGTAGAAATAAAAGAATATCATCCTCACAGTGCTTCCTGGTTTCTCTAGGCGAGTCAGAGCTTGGTGCAGGAGGAAGATCATGGCATTATCTGCCCCATTCCCATACGTAGGCAATCATATGGGAATCTAGGACAATGGACAAACTGCAGTGGATCCAATGAAGTCTTCACCAGGGGGTGTAGATAGTTTAAGACCAAAGGGTCTTCATCAGGCGTGAAGTCAGTGAAACCAGCCTGTAGATCGTTAACCCACTTAAAGTCTCCAACAGCCTGTGTGTTCTGATTTTGGCCTGAGATGTCTTCAGGTTTTTTCAGATACCTCTAATATTATTCTTTTTATCTAAAATTCTTGACAAAGTAGTTGCCAAACAAGTGTGCAACCACTTACACCATAATGAACTTTTTGAAGAGATTCAGTCTATCTTTAGAGCTCATCATAGCACTGAAACAGCTCTGGTGAAAGTCGCTAATGATATTCTCATAACCTCAGATAATGGACTTGCATCTGTTCTTGTCCTTTTAGATCTCAGTGCTGCATTTGATACAGAGGATCATAATATTCTTTTAGAAAGGCTTGAATATTTTGTAAGAATTAAAGGAACAGCTCTAGACTGCTTTAAATCTTTACTATTTATGTGCTCCTAATTGGTAGAATTATATGACAGCATGGCATTAATTTCCACTGCTGATGATACTCAACTATATCTGTCCATAAATACTGATGAAGCTAACCCATTAAATAGATTACAGGCAAGTTCTGAAGACATAAAAACCTGGATGTCTCTTAAGTTTCTGCTCCTGGATGCAGACAAAACAGCAGTTATAGTCTTTGGACCAGAGTCTTTGAAAAATAAGCTGATTAGTCAGTCACTTCATTTGGAATGGATTAAACTGATTTAAGATAATAAAGTAAAAAATCTTGGAGTTGTTTTTGATCAGTAGCTGTCATTTAAATCCCATATCAAAGAGGTTTCTAGATTTTCCTTCTTTCATCTGCGGGGTATTGCAAAAATTAGAAATATCCTGTCCAGGGGTGATGCTGAGAAACTAGTCCATGCATTTGTTACTTCAAGGCTGAACCATTGTAAATCTTCACTATCAAGTCCACAAACTGAAATTAAAAGCCTTCAGCTGATCCAAAATGCTGAAAAAATTAAAAATAGGATGCTAGCCTCTTGATGGCATCTTTCATTGTGAATTAAAGCCGCCAGCTCATCCACCTTGTTAGAGAGAGATCTGATGTTGCCCATGATGACGGACGGGGGGGATCCATTTTGGCTGACATAAACAGAAGAGTGGACAGACGTACGAACAGACAGATGTAACAGTTATTTGAAACAAAAGCAAAATAAAAAAAGAAATTCATCTTCAAAAACTTAAAAAAAAAATTTTTTTTTCAATTTCTGTCATCAACAGGCATTTTGTTTATCTTCTGTTATCTTATTCTTCCAGATGGAGGTGTGACTTGGATTCACATCATGCACAGTTGTTGCAGAAGCCTTTTTATTACCGGGTCCAAATCTGATGAAAGTATTGTTTCTTAGTAGCATACACAATGGAGGAAACATGTTTAAGCATCAACAGAATTTATTCTAGTCATATTTAACAAAACCATTATACAAGCATAAATTACTATTTATTATTATTTATACATAAACAAGATTACATATATATTTTTTTGTATTTTCAGTAATGCTTCTGTACATTAAGAGATTATAAAATCGTTATGAAACAGAAACAACTTTTTTTAAGCTCTGTGAATATTAATTTCCAAGAAAGATATTTCCTTCTACCAATACTATCCTAATAAAACAGCAAACCTTGCTACAATTACAATTACCAAAACTTCATTGTTGTCATTAATTTAAAATAAAACTCAAAATATTTAACATTTTTTTGCGATAATTCAGAATGTCAGAGTTCAGCATAGGTCTAGAGTTTATGATACTGGCATCTGTCACTTGACTTGTCAAGCATATTCCTATGTTAACTATCACTATTGAATATCACTTGTGAATATATACTTTCTTCCGTCTTCAGCTGCCTTTTCTTCTTTCCGTTTTGCTCCTTCCCTCCAGAGAAATGCAACGCAGCATAATCTAGATCCTGCCTATTTTCGCTCTGTGGAAAAAAATGTACAAATTTAAAATTTGCCGATACTGTTGGTTATTATTACAGTCAAAAAGTTGAAGTAATGTTTCGTTTTTTTTATTTTTTTTCACCTCAGCTATTGGTTGTCTTAAGTTCCTGTGATTTGGTTGAGAAGATAAACTTTCTATGAAGACAGAACAAACATCTGAAGACCGACTCATATTATCACCTAAAACTTTATCCAAAACATGTGTCTGTATCTGTAATTCACCTGATACAATTAACTTTTAATGTAAGTAATCAAATTAAAATGAAATATACCTACCTTTACATTGGATACAGACTGATCTTCGAGTACAGTAAAAAATAGAAATAATATTGAAGATTACAGAAATGGCCAAGCTGATTAAAATGATCATCCACACAGTCTTTTCACCACTTGTTTTGTCTAAAATTTTAAAAAGTGAAGCATATCAGAAAAACATGTTTTTTCTATAATAGCATAAATAATAATGATGCACAATACCTTGATTGCTCTTCGCCACTTTGGTTCCATTTCCAAATATTATCTCTCCACATGTAGCCACAGCACAATAATAGGTGTCTACTTCAAAGGAGCTGACTTTCTTAGAGAAGTTGTAACCACATTTCTTCTGATTATCTGATGGCTTTTCACAATTTTGATTTATTTTTTCATCGATGTATATGACGTCTGGATAGGATGTGTCTGATCTGGTTCTGAACCAGAACACACTAGGTTCTCCTGAACAAGTTCTGTTTTCAGAGTAAGACAGGACTGAACACTGCAGAGTCTCTACGTTTGTTGGACCGGTGGGATCAGAAACAGATTTCTCCTGAACAACAGTGTAGGTTGATGTCTTGTGAGAGTTTCCTATGAAGAAAAAACAAACCAGCTAGACAAGAGGTGTTGATATAATTTGAAAATATTTTGGATTTTTTTTTTTCTTCTAAACTGAGGAAAGTTTTAGAATTTACCTACTTTTTAAAAGGTGAATTTAACACTTAACAAACATGGATGTAAAACCTTGCTTCTACAGTTAGTTCAAAATTGCTCACAAAGTTCATACACTTTGCATATTTAGGAAATTATTCCTTCAAGGATTTTTTATTTCATTAAACAATAGAAAAATAAATAGAAAGAAAGATTAATAATTTCCTAATTTGAACAATAAGCTTTTACAGATTATTTTAAGTTTAGAGTTGTATTATGAAAAATAGGTTGTTTTCAAATATACCAGACCTTATTATTTTGAGTTTTATCTATTATATAATTCTGTGTCATTCTCATTTATTGTTAATAATGTAACACATTCAGCTGCATGTGAAGACTTGCATTCATTCGAATAAAACGTTTTTTGCCTATGACTTTGTAAAATCTATTTATTTAAATAGTTTTTACTTTGATGCTGTATCCATGTATAAATGTGCGTAAAATGTTAATTTTCTTTTTCGATATAATTCAAAGAACTCTGGGGAGAATTTGTTAAAAATTAATGTCATGTTTATGGAATATGATCTTTAAAATTGTTGACTTTCGTTAAGGATATCCAACGGATATATTTTTTTTAGCACAATTTTATTTAGATATTTTGAATATTAGGTTATATTGCAAAACATTTCAATATTAAACTAAGAATAAACTTTTGGATTCTAAAAAAGCACAATTTGTCAGAGTATTGCTCACCGTTTATTTTATACCCAATGTGAGCTGTCCGTTTTGAGTCTGCACAGACACCTTCATTAAAAGATTATTTAAAAAGAAAATAGTTTCCCATGTTTTAATATTTTCAAATTAAATGTACAATAACTGTATTAGGCCATGATAAGTAGTATTTTATACAAACTTTCCAACAAGAATTGTAACTATTTTATGTGCTAAACTGTCAAGGAAACAAGGTGCAACTAAGAAATTCAGAGCAACTTTAGACATTTTAATATCAAAATCTTTGTTGCTAATTTTAACCAATGGCAAATTTTAGGTACGGAAAATATCCAAGATCTACTTCTCAATGTCAAATAAGTCCCAGTCCAAGTAGATTGAGTCCAATCTATATGAGCGCAGTGATACATCCCCTCATCTTGTTCAACCGTTGACAAAATTATCAACTCGCTTTTGTTTTCATTATATGTAATTTCAAATCTTGAGGCTGAAAATCCCTGTCCATAGATGGGATTCTTACTTTGATATACCCTTGCAATTAATTTTAGGGTAGTTCCTGCACTCTGCTTGTACCAGTGAACCTGAACCTTTCCAGTTAAAAGGCAAGTCAAAGATATAGGATCCCCAAGCTGAACTGTGATGACAGGAACTAAAGTATCTGCAATACATCAAAAGCAAAAAGATGACAAAGATAATTTAAAATTGTAAATTACAGATCAGAGGTAAAGCAAGCAAAGGATGATCATTTTTTTCAAATCAACTTACATCCTTGATGAAGAAGAAATGGTATAAACCACAGCAGAGTCATTTTGATACTGAGCTCATAAGGACATTTTTTTGCTTAAGTAACTTACGGAGGTGTGGTGACCTAGACTGTAAGATGCATCTGATTGGTTACCGTAGAATTTTCCAACAAACAGGGCTTACTGCCACAATGAGGCGAAAAAAACAACCTCAAAATAAACTCATTTTTTTCTCAACAATATTGTGTCATAGTGCCACTATAGGTTTTCATTTCCTTCAAAATACATCTTCTAAAGTTATGAATATATATTTGGCTGTTGTGTTCTAAAACAATTGAAATCAACTGACCTAGATAAATACAGGTGCACATACTAGAACTTAAAAAAAACCCATCATACTGGGTTATATCTTCACCAGTATGATGTTCTGTGGATGTAACCTGACCACATCATGTCCAAATGCTCTATCACAGCGAGGTGAGATTCCAAAAGGACAGGTCATCAAGGATTTATGTGAAATGAGAAATAAGGTATTTTCTTACATAGAAAACATCTCCCTTAAACATTACTATGCTAACTCAAAGTGCACTTTTAAGCTTGCCAACCTCTGTTACATTTTGTCTCTGCTGAACCAGCTGAACATCTCACTTTCAGAGGAAAACAGCATTTTCTTTCTCAAAGTCTATGCCTTCAAGCGGAAAATTGCTTTGTGGACAAAGAGTACGAGGGAAAGAGATTGGGCATGTTACAAGTTTTTCCAAAAAAAGTAAAAAAAAAACAATCCACTGGACTTTGTCTCCAAGTTTGAAGATTTTTTCGCTTCCCATCAAGGAAGCCTTTTCAATTCAAAATGCCGGAAACAGCTTTGAGTGTAGCTTTATAGAAAAGCTTTATAGAGGACCAAAGAAAAGCCTTATTTTGGCTTAGAAGACATGCAATTTTAAAGGAGAAGTTTGGTTTTTTACACTTTAAGCCCATTTTCTGTAGTGTCCAGGATGAAATCGAATGAAGGACACCAAAATTTTGACAATTGGTCCTGTCTCTGCTTTTTGGCTCATTTAGAATCAACCCCTGGCTGCTTTAGAATGGCTAGCATAGAGCATGTCCGATAATGTCCTTAAAACAACCTTAAACGTTCTTTTTTTAAAATATGCTACTCACCGTGTCGTCAGCGCTGTTCAATGACGTTCCAAAAAAAGTTTCGTGAAGAAAAAACGTTCCTGTAGTGTTTTATTTAGCATTTTGTAAATCCCATTGAGTTCTGTAGGAATAGTCAATATTCCGCTGCCACCGGAAACGGAAATGGGGCCTGTTTACACAGTTGTAGTCTTTTCGCTTCACTCTGTGTACTCCGACGTCGAGAATCAAGAATCCACCTTTCGTATTCCATTTTCAGAGTTTTTTAAAGTGTTTAACAGAGACGTTAGCACCTCGACGTCGGAGTACGCAGAGTGAAGCGAAAAGACTACAACTGTGTAAACAGGCTCCATTTCCGTTTCCGGTGGCAGCGGAATATTGACTATTCCTACAGAACTCAATGGGATTTACAAAATGCTAAATAAAACACTACAGGAACGTTTTTTTCTTCACGAAACTTTTTTTGGAACGTCATTGAATAGCGCTGACGACACGGTGAGTAGCATATTTTTAAAAAAGAACGTTTAAGGTTGTTTTAAGGACATTATCGGACATGCTCTATGCTAGCCATTCTAAAGCAGCCAGGGGTTGATTCTAAATGAGCCAAAAAGCAGAGACAGGAGCAATTGTCAAAATTTTGGTGTCCTTCATTCGATTTCATCCTGGACACAACAGAAAATGGGCTTAAAGTGTAAAAAACCGAACTTCTCCTTTAAGCAGATGAAGGGCTCCGCCCCTTAGGAATGGGCAGTAATTTGGTTCTTTGTTAGCCTGCAATACATGATCCCTGTCTTGGTCCCTGAAAGGGGTGTCGTTAGAGGGAATTGTTGGCTTGGCTGAACAGGGAGGTGCTCTACTCTCCTGCATAGGGATAGGGGCTGCGATGATAGCAGAAAGGAATCAACTGTTCGCTGTCTTTGAAAGCTGAAATCTGAGTCGCCCCCTCTGGTTAAGGTTGGTTTTTCTTTCTTAACATAGATGACTACCTTCACACCCCTCTCAAACCACCTATTTTTTTTGTCCAAAATGTAAACATTATGGTCCTTAAAAGAATGTCCCTTGTCCATAAGGCGTAGATGTACCACCAAGTCTTGTCCTGAGGAGGTCGCTCTTCTTTGTTGGGCCATGCTTCTGTGGGGAGGATGTTTGGTTTCTCCAATATAAAGATCAGAGCACTACTCACTGCATTGAATTGCATACACCACTCCATTGAAATGTGGTCTTGGGGTTTTGTCTTTAGGATGCATTAGTCTTTGTTTAAGGGTCTTGTTTGGTTTGAAATGTACTGGGATTTTATCCCTTTTTTTTCTTTTTTTTTTATGATGGCCAGCACTGGAATCATTATCTGAAAACAGATTTTGCTTCCTAACACCTTTCTGTTTAAGCATCTTAGGCTCTATGCCTAAGCAAAAACTCTTTTAGAAAATCTATCAGTCTAATTGCTGTGTCCATTTAGAAATTTCTCAAATAATTTCTGAATTATTCTGGAATTTCTGTGCTCCATTTCGGTGATGAATTTAAATTTGTCAGACACAAGCTGAAGATTGCAAAACCTTCCTGACAACTTCTGTACAACTGTTTCAACAAAGAAATCGATCCCTGAAATCAATTTCTGATAACCTTCAGCTCTACTCCTAAGCAAAAACTCTTTTAGAGAATCTACAAGTCTAACTGCTGTGTCCATCTGTGGTTTTTTTGGTGCCATACTTACAAAGTTGATCTCAATGAGTCATACCAAACCAAGAGGCAAACTTAACTCCACTAACACAATCTTGTTTGACAGTGGCTTTGCCTCTAAGACGATTTTGCTATCTTCTGCATCTTCCTTAAACTTGTTTGGTGCAACTGGAAGCCTACAGCTTTAATAGAATCTGGATTTGCTACCCACCAGGTGTCACTTGGAGACTCTGATGTGGGATATCAACACATTCTGTGGAAATATCCACCCTCTTCACAGATGACAAAAAAAAAGGGTTAACATTATTTGAAGAGTGCCAAAGAAGGTGAGGCACTCTGTTGGATGAGCCTGCATCACATAACAAAATATTTATGCTGCAGCCACTGCAGGGAATAAATAGAGCCTTTGGACACCTGTTGTATTAAAGGTTGTACAACCTTGTGTATTCCCCTCATATAAGAGTTGTTGACAAACCTTTTCCCTCTACAATTACCCAACTCAAACTCTAGACAATCCAGCACCCCAGTCAGTGTGACTAGGAGCCTTTCCAGTTCTTTTTCTCAGAAATGAACCCCCAAAAGACTCATTAAGAGTGATGTTCTTCTCATCTGTAAGAATATAACGTATGTTATCTGAAGCCTACTCTTGCTCTGAAACATTGGGTGTACAGTACACCCCAGGTCTACAGGTATGTGCTTAAAGGCTTTGATTTGTGCACAGTTTTTTCCTAGCACATAATCTGATATTTAATCTTAAAGTTAATTTTGAGTGCCCCATGAGAGATGTGCAGTGGTGTTTTTGGAAGCATTCTGTCTAAGATGCTCTGCTATCATACTGTGCTATGAGCGCTCTCAAACTCAGATAATTTCCACTATTTGGTATTCCTAACTATGAATTTATTTTCCCTTAGTGACAGATTTCTTTCTGTATGCAAGAGTATAGAGTCGATCACCTGAGTCACCACATTACTTTAGCATTCCTATTCGGTGGCCGTAACTCTTTGCAATTATCTACATCAGATAAGAATTTATGTGATAACCACTGGTTTCATTGTACTTCGGTATTTTTAACAGATACATGGTCTTTTAAGATCAGAAGAGTGCTTCCTCCAAAGGCGAGATTCATCGGCTGATTACGTCATAATGTATTACGTCATAATGTGGTGCTGCCGACTGTTCGGATGGGAAGACTCCGGCTGACAAATGCAGCCTTTTTATGCTAGGTTTGAAGCATGGGTCCAATGTATGCTCCATATCCTTGGGTATCCCATGATTCATTGCGAGTTCAAGCAAGCCGGCTGCTCCGTACTCAGAGGAAAAAGGGAAATGGAGACGAACAGTGTTGAATATTGTAAGGGCAGTTTAATATAATACAAGTATGTGAGCCGTAACATCTGAAATAAATGAAAAAAAAAAAGTTTTTGAATAGTTAGTGTGTCAGATGTTTGGAGGGTACTGCTTGGTTTATTGAAAAGTTGTATCTGTCCCTGTGCAATTGGTTTGGCTGACATTTAAGCACTAATTCCAATATCTCTGCAGTCTAGTGACTACAAATTTGATATGTGCGACTGGTTTACAAGCTTCTCAACAATATCATTAGCACACAAAACAGTTGTAAAAAGTTAAGCATCCATTCCTTGCCTGCTTTGTGTGTCAACTTTCGCGGTTGCTACGTGACGAAGCGTATGCTGAGTGAGGGGCGGTGGAGGCCGGAGAAGGCTGGACCTGTTTGAATACATAGCCAATCTCCTTATTTTCACGGCCCTAAAAGGACCCAGTTCAATGTAAACCAGGTCCTTGGAGGACGCTGAAATCACAAACACACCCACGGTCACTTACAATGCCCAGCTATGAGACATTTCAACAATTTTAGCTTCAACAATAGTTTTTGTTGTTTTTTTCTGAGTTCCATAACCAATCTCGTTCTACTTTTTCTCCATCTGCACCAAGGAGGTGGGTAGAGTAGCCAAAAATTATACTAAATTAAGAGTATTTTTACTATAGGACAATACAACTTATGTAAAAGTAAAACATGTTTTGCATTACTGCTACTTTAAAAGTGCAATTGGTAAGAAATAATATTCAAGTAAATGGTTCCTACCCATCTCTTAATGTACCGCTATCTTCCAAATTCTCTTCTAGTTTGTCCTCTGTGGTAACAGACTCACCACGTACACTTGGACTACTTTTTAAAAAAGGACACAACAAATTAGTTGGTCAGCTGACATTCAAATCTTTCTGGCTTTTATTCCCACCAAAATGTGTGAACTCAGGAAAATTGTTCGCCTGTGCTTTTGCCAGCATTTTCTTGTCCTACTTTTGTGTTTTCCAACTTTAACTTCGACCCCCTGGCTATTAACCCATTTAGGCCGGGAAAGCATTACCGCATTTCTACCATTCAAGCCGGGGGCGCTGTTGCGTAATTCTACCATTGACGCTGGGAGAGCATATAAGTCAAGCAAGAAGAAAGAAGTTTTTTTCAAGCAAACATGGAGGAGTTTGACAGAGAAGAGTTGTCGGAAGGCAGTGATTTTGAGGAGTGTGTCGGCTTTGATGACGGTATAGATGAAAATGATGACTTTGAACGCGCTGAACCAATCGACCGGGATTTGTGGTTAAGACATATGTTCGAAGACGACGAGCCGGACGCTAGCGACGATGAGTTTGAAGGTTTTGATAGTGACTGGACGACGGAGAACTACCACCGCAATGCACAGAGTGTTTTCAACCGTACACCTGGAGTGAAAGTTGATTTGCCTGCAGACGCCACACCGCTGCAGGCATTTGAGCATATTTTTAATGAAGAACTTTGGATGCATCTTGTTACCAAGACGAATAGGTACAGTGACCAAACAAACCAAACTCCAACAAGAGCAAAGATGGCAAAGTGGTCACCCTTGACTGTGACGGAGATGAAGACATTTATTGGGCTGTGTATGGGCATGGGACTTCTTGTGTTGCCAGTACGAAGAGATTATTGGCGACAGAGTAAACCTCTCTTCAGGACGCAGTTCCCCCAAAATATGTCCCGGGACAGATTTGTGGCCATCTGGAGGTAAGTTGTATTGCAATTTATAACACAGACATATGCATTATTATGCATAATAATACTGTTAATAAGTAATCATCAGATAGTTATTTATGTAATGTTTGTTCTTTATTTTAAAAACGTTTTATATTGCACATTCTCAATGAAGACATGATCACATATGGAAAAAATAAAAGGCTGATTTTTTTTTTTTTTTCTGTGCTTTTTGATTGTTGCTACAGAAGCTGAGATATCAATAATTTACTAGGCGTTGACACAGTTGCTGAATTTACAGAAAAACTTCAGGTTTTAGGGGTATTTTTTAAAATCGGCCATAGGTTTTTAAGGTGTTTTTTCCAGGCGTTTTAGGCCTAAATGGGTTAAAGAAAAATCCACAGAAAACTGCACCTTCCCATAAGCTGCATGGTTCCAAGCGTGGGGAAAAAGTAGTGCCTTAAAGTCCATAAAAATACAGAATGTAAATAATACTCACAGTTAACTAAAAATCACCTTAGAAATTTATGAAAATATAATTAAAGCACTCTAGTGAGACAAGATAGTGAAAAGATAGGGAGACAAGTTTTTTGTTTGTTTCTGTGGACCTGTTTATAGCACGGTGTGGGGACTTCAATCTATTTACACAGTCACATCATGGGGAGCTATGTCCCAAATCCATATAAAATAAATGTAAGTCAATGGATTAAAACAAGATTGTGTGTGTTGTGTGTGTAATCTGCAACAAGCTTCTGTTATTAATGATCCTACGATACCCGCATGTACAGCATACATTGCATACCCCCTTTTTGCGTCACTGTATATAACTAGCCCTTGCTGAGACAAACATGGATTTAAGAAAAATAGATAAACACAGTGGCTTTTTTTTTCTTTAAATATGTTCTTAAAAAGTCACTTTCATAGTAATATTTCTTTTATGTATTGTAAGTGGTTCATAAGCTAAGAGAGTTATGGTCTGACTAATGCAAACAAGGCGATTCAAGTATGTCCTAAAAATTTGAGTCCTCGTTAATTAACTAAATGCATCTGTTGTTTAATATAGTACTGAGCTGTGGCAGTTGGTCAATAGGGTGCACTAGGGCACCGCCCCACCCTACCAAAGACCCTGATTAAGACATAAAAAAAAGAATATATATATATATATATATATTTACACCTTCAAATGTATGTACTTTTGAAAACTTAAGTATTTCCAAAGGTGAGCACTTAAGTAGTTAAACTTGAGTAGTTGTTTGACTGAGTACATTTTATCTGTAGTTGAAAAACATTTGACTATGAATATAACTTTTACTAACTTTTACTCAAGTACTATTGTTGAGTACTTTATACTTCATTGCTAACAGATTCATGATCTAAAATTGCGCTATTAATGATTTTCATTCAGAAAGTTTGTCTTTAAAATATTGTTCCTTCTTCAATTACTTAGATGTACTAGAGTTTGTTTTTGTTTTGTTTTTTCATTTAGATGTTTCTGAAAGCTGCTAAGTCAAAAGTTATGGAGCTTCATGACTTAATGGATATTTTCATCAAAAACAATTTGAGTTTCACTTTTGTTTTTCCAAAAAAAAAACTATGTTTGGAAACTGTTTTGTTTACCCAAGTCATTTAAGTGAAATTCATGTACAGCCTCCCTATTATTTAGATGAATAAAGACAACTAATTTAAATCATTCTGCAGCATATGCCATGGTTCTGGTTCTGTTTTTGATTGCATTTGAGTTCTTAGATATTTCTGTTTGCCCTCATGTGTCAGTCACCGTTTCTCTAGCTCCCTTCTTGCCTCTGTTTACACCTGCTCCCAATCTGCTAATTAGCCTGGGGCCTGTTTCAATAAGGAAGTTCAACCAACTCTGAGTTAAAACTTGAACTCTGAGTTGACTTATCCTGAGATTGGAAACTCTAAGTTTTGGGTTTCAGAACAGCTGAAATGAGTTAGTTCAATCAACTCTAAATTGACTGACTCTGAGTTAAGCGCGTGCCCCACAACTATAAAAAGCCATTATCAATGGAGCCCAGATAGTACGAGTCACCATGGCAACAGCGTCAGACAAAAAAAGGTGTGCATATTTCTCACCAGCAGAACTGGATGTGCTTATGCAAGCATATGCAGAATTTGAACATGTATTTAAAAAAAAAAAGCAACACGGCTGCAGCGGCGAAGGAGAGAGAGTTAGCTTGGGTGAAAATAGCTGCTCGAGTCAATGCGTAAGTTTACATTTTAATTACTTTTATACAGTGTTGGGTGTAATGAATTAAGTTACTTAAGTCATATAAATACTGTAATTAAATTAAAGACTATAAAAAATAGTGGATTTAACATCACATTTTTAAAAGGTATATTTTGATTTGAACTTTCTCCCTCTAGTTACACACTTTGGTCAATTTAAGATTAATTCATGCAATTGAATATTGTTTATTTGAAAGCATTAGAAGTGCAGTTTCTTGTCTCTCCTTGTATTGTTCAAGTGGTTGAGGTTGATTTGGGATTTAGAAAGTAATTAATAAGTAAGTAAAACAAATTAGTAAGTAGACCAATACTTTCTAGACACAGTAATTATTACATTAATCTAATTAGACTTGTTGAAGATAAAATTTGTAGTTAGTAATTAAGAACTATTTTAGAGTAACTTACCCAACTGTTATAATATCAGAGGTGAAACTGGAAGAACAGTATTTTATTAAACCTAATTTAGTTTTCATGGATAGATGCAATCCTGCAGGCATCAAAAGAACATGGCAGCAGCTGAAAATTAAATATAAAAACATACTTCAAGCAGGTAAGCCTTGAGCACATCATGGGAGTAGAGTAGCTGCCTGGCTTTACAAACAGGATCATCCATAAAAGGACATGCCATTTCATTCCCTTTGATGCGCTCTATGTGACTAAAATGTGTGCAATGAATACTGTATGTCCCCAAAGAATCAATGAGGTGTTTAAACACCACTTCCTCTTTAAAAAAGGGGAGGAGACCAAAATAAACTCTGGATTTTCTGAAGAAAACCTGCTCCCGACCAGGTTAGGTTCACTGAGTAAATTGCCATGGTAACTGACTCTGAGTATAAGTTACCTCTCTTTCAGAAACGGGCTTGACTTACTCTGCTTTCTCAGGTTTAACTTACCTCCCTTTCTGAAACAGAAAACCCAGAGTTTCCCTCATTTCAGGGTTAACAAACTCAGAGTTTTCACTTAACCTCCTTTCTGAAACAGGCCCCTGGTCTTTGTTTCTCTCTCCCATATATGCTCCTCCTATTCAGTCACTCTTTGCTGGTTTGCCGTTATTTCTTTGACCCCTTTTTCTGAGTAGTCCTGGTTTTCAGTAGTTTTTGGATTTTTGCCGATTCATGTTTTTTTGGATTTTTGCTGCCTTTACCCTTTTTGTTAATAAAATCTGCGAGTAACAACCTTAAAGCTTTTGTGTCCGCATTTGGGTCCTGTCCAACCTCCCCCACTGTTACAGCATATGTATGTAGCATATGTACGTATGTACATACATCAACCCGGAAAGATTTACACATGCACACACAGAAGAAATATGGCAATTAGGGAGTTTTAATTGATGATCAGAAAGCATTGTAAACTTTATTTGTAACTACATACTTCAGTGTCATCATTCAGCATAACACTAGAATCAATTATATTGATTTCTACAATTTAACTTGTGAATATACACTTTCTTCAGTCTTCTGTTCTCCTTTCTTCTTTCTTTTTTGCTCCTTCCCTCCAGAGAAATGCAATGCAGCATAATTTAGATCCTGCCCATTTTCACTCTGTGAATAAAAATAATATATATATTTATTTTAATTTTTTTGATTAGCATCCCAGTCAGACAGCTATGATATATATTATTTACTCACCTCATCTATTGGGAATCTTAAGTCGGTGTGTTTTGGTTGAGAAGAGAGACTCTCTGTAAAGACAGAACACAGTAATGTGATTGAATTTAATGTCTTACTCAGAAAGTGTTATGGCTTAAAAAGTGTTCAGTTTATTTCTGACACCTACCTTTAAATCGATTACCTCCTGATCTTTTAATTTGATAACAAAGAAAAAAAATATTCAAAGTCACTGAAATGGCCAAGCAGACCAATGTGATAATGAATACACTCCGTGTAGTAATTGATGTTTTATCTAAAAAAAAAAAAGAAGGAAATATCAGAAAGGCTATTTTTATAACATAAATAACATGAATCACATTACCTTGATTGCTCTTTACTATGTTTGCTCCGTTTCCAAATAATACTTCTCCACATGTAGCCACAGCACAGTAAAAGGTGTCCGATTCAGAGGAGGTGACGTTCTTAGAGAAGTTGTAACTACATTTCTTCTGATTGTTTGATGTCTTTTTGCAATTTTTATTAAAGTTTTCCACAGTGTAGATGATGTCTGGATTGGATGTGTCTGATCTAGCTCTTAACCAGAATACACTAGGTTCACTGGAACAGGTTGTATTCTCAGATTCAGACAGGACTAAACACTGCAGAGTCTTTGGACTTGTTGGACGAGTGGGATCAGAAACTGTTTGCTCCTGAACAATAGTGTAGCTTGATGTCCTCTGAGAGTTTCCTATGAAGAAATTAAAGAAAAATAAAACGACTGTAAACCATATTGATATAAGCTGTCCTAAAAATATTTAATCGAAATCAATATGTTTGTCTATTAAATTTGATCTTAGGAAGGTTTTTAACACAAATGTGGGGTGGAGTCTGGGGCAATCGTTTTCATACGCTTTACAGATTAAGATTTAAATTTATATTGCATTCAACTAAGTACGTTCTTCAGTTAAAAATGACATCAATGTCTTAAAAGACACTGAAATAACTCTAAAAAGTTTCTATTTATATCTACTAACAGTGGCCTATAAATTATTTTAAAAGCCTATTAATAATGTATCAAACAAATTAACTTTATTGTCATTACAGAATTTAATCAATTCTTGTAATTGCTTCCTATCTTTTTCTATATTTTTAACTCGTATTTCAATAATTTAACATCAGGGATGAGCTCTTAATATTTGAGGTTGGAAAGTCATCTTTATCATCCATGGATCTTTACCTCCCTCCACAAATTCTTTACTTGATTAAAGTTAGGAATTTTTATTAGTTAATCCAACATCACTTCAATGGATTATATATGTTCATTGCAATAAACATATTATGTTAAACTTAAATCTATCAGGGACATGATAAGCATTGGTGATTTTTTTTCATGTGAACAAAAACTAAAAAGGAAAAAAAATCCATACATTTATTATTACAGTAAGAGTACCAATTCTGCAAATGTCCTAAAAATATTCTGCTAAAGTAAAATGCCAAAGTAAGTTATCACTTACAAAAGTCACAATTGCAAACAACTGTCTCCAAAATCCTTTTTCAAATGCAAATGCAATAACAATTGACATAAAAGAGTTTCTGTTTGAGTCAGAAAACAAACTGTAATAAAAATTTTGAAAACTCCAAGGACCTGTGTTACTATTTTTTGTGCTTAATTGTAAAGAAAAAAAGGGGAGAAAGTGATCCCAATTAACTGAAGATGTTTTAATACCAAAATACTGATCAGTTATTAAAAAAGTTTTTGTTTGAAAAATAACGCAAAAACAGACATTTACCTTTTATTGATAAATAAATCCCAGTCCAAACAGATTGAGTCCAGTCCATTTGAGCACAGTGATACATTCCCTCATCTTGTTCAATGACTGACAAAATAAACAAGGTGCTTTGTGTGCCATTATTTGTTATTGTAAATCTTGTAGATGAAAATCCTGGTCCATAAGCAGTTTTTGTACTTTTACGCAGCATTGCAATTAATTTCAGAGTATTTCCTGCACTCTGCTTGTACCAGTGAACCCATGTTACGACCTGAAACTGCTCAGTCAAAACACATGATAAAGTGAAAGGTTCCCCAAGCTGGACTGTGGTGATAGGAACCAAAGTATCTGCAGTACCTAAAAAAAAAAAACATAATAAGTAATAAAGTATTTCGAAATCAGACATATAACAATTTAGTGAAGGGCAATTCTATGTTTGTGAATCTACTTACATCTTTGATGAAGAAGTAGAAGCATAAGCCATAGCAGAGTCATGTTGACACTGTCTTCATCAGGACACTTAATGCTTAAGTAACTAAGGGAGGTGTGGTGATTCAGAGCGTTAAATGCCTCTGATTGGCTACCTCAGAATATATAGAATATATAGTGTATAGAAAATAAAATGAATATAGAATATATAGTCACATATATATAAAATAATGTGATCACTTTATTAATCTATGCATATGTAGATTTTTCTTGAATAGAAGAATCCATAAAAAATTCAGAGTAACTTGTTTGTTATTTTATGGACACTCCTGTCATTCAGAAAAACTGAGAAATCTGTAGATTTTCAGTAAATCCTTTATTAATTCATAGACCAGTCAGTTAGAAAAAGGAATATTCTGTAAATCTACATAAAATATATGCTTATTCACAGAAACATCTGTTGTTTAGATAATGGAATAATTTTTAGATTCACATAAAATTTCTGTTAATTGATAGAAACATCTGGTGGTTATAAAACAGATAATTCAGTAAATTCAAACCTGATTTCTTCTTCACCATAAAAATATATTGAACGCATGCCATTTCAGAAAATATAAGATATATTTAGATATATATACATATATCTTTATATATAAATATATATAGACATGAGTTAAAATATATTGAATAAAACTTTAATATTTTGAATGGTATTCTGGAAATCAGGAAAGGTAATTTGGAGAAAAACAAAGAAAACTGAGAAACTGGGAAAAGAGTAAGGAGAAGTGGTCATAATAATAATAGAGAACATACAGACTACTGTAAATGCCAACGATAAAGATGTAGAGGGTGCTCTGGAGTAGAAGTAGACTGGTTGTCAAGATCTGGCCTAATAGCTTCACCTTCAATCACCTGCTCAGTTCTTCCCAATTCCTAATTTTCACATCTTTTCCACCTGTGTCTGGGCTACATATCTGGTTCAGCCTGAGCGATCGGTTTGAGATCATTATTTATTTTCCATTTGTCTTTTTGCTAATTTTAGTTTATTCCATGGTTCATGTCCTGGTTCCTGGCAGCAAGCGGATTGAAAGGGTTTTTCTTGTATGCCCTGTCTTCTCACCATGTTCTGGTCCTTCTCCAGAGGTCAGGTTTTTTCCTGTAAGCCTGGCTCCTATGAGTAGCAGTTTAAAGTTTCCTGCAGAAATTCTGGTACAACGTCTTATCTTTGTTCTCTCATACACTGAGCCTGTCGATCTGCATCTGAGCCTGTCTGTCTGTATCTCTGGATCCTTCTGTTCCTGTTTCAGTCGGAACTTCGGATCAGCTGTGGACTCTTTGATTCTTGGACTGTTCCGGCCTACACTGTTTTCCCCAGACCTGGATCGGCCTCCTGTATCTTCTCTGGGGCTGCAGCATTTGGGTCACCCTGGATGGGGCCAGCCCATCGGATGGATCCTACCTTTTTTAAAGCGCATGGACTGAACTGTCAAATCAGCTAAGTGAATCACTTTGATAATCATCTTCTGTCAGATGATCGTGGTCACTTACCTGTCTTGTTGCATCCAGAGAGTGTCAGCTACTGGATGGTGCCCCGACCCCCTTTCCCCACAGTCGCTGCAGGTCCACAGATCCACAGCAGCCTGTTTCTGTTCTGTTTTGTTTGGTTTTGTTTTAATAAACGTTTTGAACTTTCCTACTGACTGTCTCACCTTAAATACTGGGTCCATCTGGCCCCGTTTTATGAAAAAAAATAAAAATAAATATATATATATATATATATATATATATATATATATATATATATATATATATATATAACATACTCAATCTCATAAACCATGATCAAATCCAAAAAGTGCAGTATTTCCCATGCAAATACTCATCAATTGAAAAGGTAATAGTACAATTACTACAATAAGCCTCAAACACTCTTTGTTAAGAGCTTTAAAATGTGTAAAAGTATTTTGTACCTTTAATATTATAACTGCCATGGTTTTGGTTCTCTTCAAGTTTTATCTCTGAGTTTTCATTGGTCTTATTTCCATTTCCTCGTTCTATTTATTTTTGATTGTATATAATTTCTTAGATATTTCTTGTTTGCCCTATTGTGTCAATCTCCTTTTCCCTAGCTCCCTTCTTGTCTCTTCTGTTCACACCTGCTACCAATCTGCTAATTAGCCTGGTCTTTGTTTCTCTCTCCCATATATTTTCCTCCTGTTCAGTCACTCTTTGCTGGTTTGTCATCATTTATTTGCCCCCAATTTGTAGGTATGGCTGGTTCTCAGTTTTTGTGGATTTTCTGGATTTATGTTTTGGATTTTTGCTTCTGTTAAACCTTTTGGTTAATAAATCTTCAAGTAAACTCCCTCAGCTTCAGTCTTCATTTGAGTCCTCCTGTCAAACCTCCACCCCACTGTGACAATAACCCTCTGGTTTTTAGTGAATAATGAAACGTGTTTCAACATTACAATAGAGTGACATTGAGCATAAGGAAGTATTTTAGATTTAGAAAGATTTGAAGCCACTATGAGTAATTATTAGCAACATCTAATGGTCAGACTGCAGCGACCCCCTTTCCCTACTATATCTCCCCTCCAACAATACGGAGCTCGTCATGGTAAAAATTGGCTTCTCGATGTCGCTTACATAGATCGCAGCATCAAGCTATTATAAAAATGTGTTTGAATGTAGCCTTAGAAATATCATTTTGTATCCCACCGCCAGCACAGACACGGACCAGCTGATGCTTCTCTCACCCTGCTCTGCTGCACTCTCTGCTGCAGGCTTCTCTGACACTCGGTGGTGCTCTGTCCATTTCCAGCAGTTAGACTCTAGGTGCTAGCCTTGGTCTGCTGTCATCTCTTCCTGCTCCCTGTCTATTTTGTGTTATAGCAACAAAGGATATCCACTCTGCAGTAGCTGTAATTATATTTTACATACTTTATAAATGCAGACTTGCACACAGAGGTACAACCAAAAACCATCCGACAAACCACCAGGTAACAGTTATACTAATAAAAAATAGATGGGATCCTTAATTTCAGAAAACTGCCTGTTTTGTGTTTCATTCTTACGCTGAATGAATATCAAATAGCCTGAAATGTGCTGCTTCCTAATAAAACAGGAAAATAATAAATATAAATATTGTGAGCATGCCAACTGTGAGCACACAGTGATTTTTAATGTTTTTTTTTAATAGTTTAGAAAGGTAGTTCTCAGACTAGTTTCTCTAGTGCCACTGCTCAGCATGTTTGTGTCACTATTGCAGCACACCTGATACAAATATTTGCATGATATCCTCAGCAGCTATCAAATGATGGAGAGGTCAAGTAATCATGCATTTATACAAGTCAGGTGTGTGGCGATGAAGCAAACTATAAAGCATGCAGGGCAGTGGTACTTAAGAGCCAGGACTGAGAACCACTGCTATAGAAAATAGTAAGTCTCACAGCAGTTTTCAAATTCCTCAGGTAAATTTCAATATCTTGTTTTTCTTCACAAAATGTATTACTGAAATGCTCAAGGCTCTTCACCATAGGTGGTATTTATTGCTGCAAACAAAAAAAAATGTCAATACTAGTGCTGTAGAGCTACTGCATAAAATGAAATACAGAGGCATTTCAGCCATGGAATAAACATGCCTCTTTTTAGTCTTTTTAGTGTTGAAGCAGGGTGCTCCTTCTTCTGTACGGAGGCTTTGGTCCTTGTTTTGGACTTCACAGGGTCGGGTCCTGGCCTGGTGCTGCATGTCTTCCACCTCTCTCCAGTCCCATTCTTTAATTGCCTTAAAAAAAGGCCACTTGTGCCTAAAAATAATCTTTTAATACAACAGACTTCCTGGTTCTCAGGGGGAGGGATTTGTAGAGGTCCCATATCAGCCATAGTGTTTTGTTTGGGACCAAATGTTCATTAATCACAAAAAATTTTCTGTCTCTGCTCTATCCCGTGTGAATGTTATCAATTACATTGTTTTAGGCAAAGCACCAAAATTTAAGGCCCAGCTCTGTCCATCTGCATTCATGAAAACTCCTAGGAGGATTTGATCACTTGTAGAGTCTATAAATATCCAAATCCGGGTCAAAATTTCTCTTCAAAGGCGGACATCTTGCTCATTGTTGAGCGTGTGTGTAAAAGACTTTCCAATAGGTTCTGGTAGGTTCTACAAATCTATCAAATTTAGTGTCGCCAAGAAAAGGTTTCAGCCCTAGGGCGCAAAGATCTTTGCCCATAGACTCTTGTTAAAAGTTGTACATGTGCAGAAGCTCCTCCGCAATACAAAGGGATAGGAGAGCTCTGGGCTCGGGAGAGCTGCACCTTGAGGTGACAGGAAGCCACAACGCAGACTTTTTGCGGGTGATTGACATGTCGAGTTGCTGGAGTTGGAGATGCATTAGAGAGAGAGAGAGAGGTATTTGTTAATTTGCATTGTTACTCTTAAATAAACACATTCTCAGAAAATGTATAGTTTAAATATATTAAAAAAAATATAAAGCTGACTAATCTCCATATTATTCTCCAATATTAAACTGGCACATCATTTTTTTTAGGTTTCTGACACAATATTGGACCATGCAAGATACAGATTTGCCTTTACAAATCTTCGGAAGGCAAAATTTATCTACAAATATGAACCTGTACATCAAAATATGTTTTGTTTTTGTAAAGTGTTTTTTTAATGTGTTTTGTTGTTGACAGTCATTTAAATACACTGGTGTGATAACTTAGAATACGTTTGATGTTTTTTTTGGTATACATCTGTTTTGAATTTATAGCCCCCCCTGGAGAAAACTCCACCAGCCGCCACTGCCTCTAACCCAAGAAGAGAACCTGTGGGGACCAGTCAACTGGTCTGACAAGGATGTGTAAGTCCCCATATTGTAGCATATTCCTGGGAAAATGACCTTACATTGTCCACCTAAGGCAGAGGTCGGCCACCCAAAATGCTCAAAGAGCCATATTGGACCAAAAAAATAAAAATGTCTGGAGCCGCAAAAATGTAAAAGTCTTATATAAGTCTCGTATGGCAACACAGGCTCTAAATGTATTATCCCACTATAGAAAAGGAC